ACATCCACACTAAGGTTATGGAGATCATTAACATCCACACTAAGGTTCAGTGAGTGTCAGGATGCCATCAGACGGACAGAAACATATCTGATGGAACATGAAACCACTGGAGGAGCAACTATAAAAGTTTATAAAACTATTCAAGTGGGTTTGTATAAGCTGACTCAGCTGATGTGATACTGAGACGGAGTTTGTTCCACCGTGTCAGAGCTCAAACTGTCAAAGCCTGAACGCTGTTCAGATCTGAGGGGTCTTGGTGCACAATGAGGGGTTAAAAGATCTGAACTGTACAGCGCAGTGAGACCATGAAGGGGTTAAAGGTAATTAATAGAATCTTAAGCTTTATTCACTCTTAAACACGTGCAAAACTGCAATCTCGTGTGATAACATTAATAATACATTTCAGTCACATTTCAGTGTTTATTCTTCATAGTTTTAGTTGACAGAGTGTGTGTGTGTTCTCACCAGAGCCCCCTGTTTGACACAGTATCCGGCCTTGATGATGGCCTGGTCCTGCACTCCTCTGGACAGGAAGTAGGGCAGATGATTCTGACCCCGCTTCAAACCTCCTCGCTCCGCCTCGTTCTGCCCCTCCCCCTGCTCCTACAACACACACACACACACACACACACACACACACACACACACACCATAATGTGGAGTATCGCCTCATGATATTCATAAAACTAAACATTTAACATGTCAGCAAATTTGCTTATTGCTTATTTACACAACCAGTAAATACGGAGCAACATGGATCATCGGATGACTTCCTCCGTCTCCACCGAGTGTAAGATTCCCGTTTAATACTGAGATCGTTCCACACACTGACTCTTAATGTGCTTAATAGCATCTCTGTGTTTTCAGTCATAAAACTGAAACCAGCCGTCACTCGTCTGTGTTAACGCGTGTTGAGTTACGTGTTTGCGGCTGCATACCAACACTGACAGGACTGGACCTGCTGAGCTGCTGAAGCAACACACCTGACAGTGTGAGTGTGTTACCTGTGTGGTGGTGGTGATGGGGACTCCTCCTATGATTTCAGTCTTGTAGGAGACCTGTTTCATGGCTCCGAGTACTTCCTGGGGGGTCTCTGTGTGGGCCGTCGTTTGGCCCTCGCCTGGCTTTGGCACCTAAAGACACAACAAGACATTAACGACAGTCCAGTCTGTCAAACACCTGGTTCACACCCACAGGTCTTTAAGAGGTTTGGGTTTAAACCGGGCGGCAACCTCCGGTTCTGGAGAGTGAAGTCAATGCTTCATGTGTTAAAGCTGCATTCTCTCTAGTGTCCACCAGGGGGCGACTCCTCTGGTTGTATAGAAGTCTATGAGAAAATGACTCTACTTCTCTCTTGATTTATTACCTCAGTAAACATTGTAAACATGAGTTTATGGTCTCAATCTCTAGTTTCAAGTCTTCTTCAATACAGCATGATGTTCATTTAGTACATTATGCTCCATTTAGAGTCACACAGACCAGAACTACGTCTACTTCCTGGTGGGTTGCAGGTTCCACCCAATTCTCAGGCACATAAAATCAGGCTCACCTACGGACTTTACAATTTCTTTTGTTGCTTTTTTAAGGTGGACGTGTGTTTAATGGGTTTTTGAACAACAATGGAGCTCTATGGCACAGAGGAAGACCAGATATCAGGCTTTGATACACACTTAACACTTGTTAGACAATAAAGCAAATGTAATAGATCACCAACGTTAACCTTTTACATCAATGAGCCTCACCGTTTCCCTGGGAGAGATGTTCCTTTATAACATGAACACAGGTTTATTTTGATCACACACACAACTTCCTGCTGCCACAAATACGCACTTGAGCGCCAAATGTGGATTAATCCGCCGCTGAAAATAGTCCCCAACAAAGTCACTATTTCCTCCTGTTTGTTTGATTAGAAAGTGAGCAGCTGTTGTAGGAGATTAATGAGCCTTTGTTCTATTTGTGAGAGTGGACATTATCAGTGAAACAAAACGTTTGAATGTGATTTATGGTATGAAATAATGAATAACTTTCAGCACCACAGAACACTGCAGGTGGATATGAACGCTTCTCTTTCTCCTTCACACTCTGTTACGCCTGAACTCAACTTCATCGCTCTGGCCTTACGGGTCGTTTTCCATCGGCTGCAACCTGAGGCAGAAGACATAGCGGCCTACTACAGCAGGAGAAACAGGCTCACCTATTGATCCACCAGAGTGTGTGTGTGTGTGTGTGTGTGTGTGTGTGGGGCTCACAGTGATCTTGGTGGCATTGTTGAGAACACTGATCCATTCCACCAAATCTTGCTGGTCGTTGGCCTGCAGATAAAACTTCCTCATTCCTGCATTTACAACTAGAGAGACAGGAATGTAAATGTAAATGTCTTCTTACTTTAAAAACATCGGGTAGAAAACACAAGAGGAAGAAGAAAAACACCACGAGCTTCATGCAAATCATGATCTAAAAATATCAGCTGGCTTCTGGTTTCTCTCACACGCGCGCGCGCACACACACACACACACACACACACACACACACACACACACACACAC